CCAGGTGTGGCTTATCTACCTCTCTCCAACTCTCCCTACCAAGCATCTGTCCCATTTCCCCTTTGACCCAGGTAAGCTTTTGCTGTCCATAGCATCCATTGGCAAATAAATCTACAGGGCTGCTAAACCCTGCATGACAAAAATCTCCTGGTTTTGCATGTTTTGAAGATGTCTCCTGCTGACTTTAATTTGATGGGCCCTTGTTTTTGTGCTGGAAGACAGTCTGAGCTCCAGACTACTCATGGCTTTGTAGATACAGCAAAGTATGGGTCATAGCTCTCATCAGTGGACTGTCTCTCAAGCTGAAGAGTCCCTGTCTATTCATCTTTTCTTAGTGCAGAAGCCATTTCACATCTACAGTCATCTTGGCAGCCCTTCTCTGACTCTTTTCCAGGTCTGCTCCAGGGAACCAGAACATTTTCTACTTTGTTCTCAAATTCCTCTCCTAACAATTCCTAACTCTCTGTATGACTTCTGACCACTTCTGAGCACTGAGCTGATGCTTTCATAGAACTTCCTATTGTGATCCTCAAGTCTTGCTCCTGCATAATAATGGCAAACAGACCATGAATATTCATGTGATTTTGCTTGCTATGTGCAGCGCTTTACGTTATCTGTCTGAATTTCTTCTGACACTTGTCCAGCCACCAAGCCTTTTCAGGTTCTTCTACAGTTTCCTATAACCTATATGCATCATTATTCTGCCAAATAACTTTCTCATAAGCCAATTTTCTCATTGCACCACCTGATCTCTTTTCTGGGTCATCTGTGAACACATTGGATGACACCATTTTCAACCCAGTTCCCTGTAAAACTCCTCTGGGAATGATTCTACCCTGCAAGAATTAAATGTTTGCATCTATCCTGCATTTCCTATCTGGCAATCAGTTCTTTATTCAGTCTAGGATTTCTGCCCTTATTCCATTACTTTAGTTCCTTAAAGGCTTTGGTTAAGGATTTCACCAAGCGCTGATGAGAAATTCAAGTAGATTGTATTAATTAGATCACTCTCATCTACATGCTTGCTGACCCCTCGAAAAAATCATTAGAGGTTTACAAAACAGGATTTTCTTTTACATAATCTGTGCTACTCTTCCCAAATGGGTCATATTGATCCACAAGCCCTCTCATTCTATCCTTTATTACAAACCCTACTTAACTACCCAGTGCAGATGTCCATCTTACAAACAAGCTGTTGCCTGCTCTCTGCATGGAAATCAGGGCAGCAGTGCAGTATGGTAACTTACATCATGAACTGTGAATTTTTTTTTCTAAATATTTCTGTCTTTATGTACCTATTGATCAATTGTGTTATTTATCAGACTTTATTTCTTCCTTTGTTTTAGTTCCCCCGCCTCCCCCTCCATCCTCCCCAACCAGGAAAACACTGCCCAAGTAGGTGATCATGAGACAAATTTAACAACTGGTAAAATATTTATAGCAATTTTTAACTATAAAGCACTGTACACATATATCTAACAAAATTTATTAATCTAACCTAGGTAGCCTAGTAAATACAGATTTGATATTCAATTTTTTTTTTTTTTTTTTTTTTTCCTGTCAGATGCTTTACCTGAGTTGGATGTGGTAAAGCACATCTGTCAGATTTCAGTCGTCACAAGCAAGCTAGAAGTCATTTGCTCATTTCCAGCAGCCACAGGCTTTCCCACAGTGAGGAAGGAGAGGAAGTTTTAACAGTACCTCAAAGCCCATTTTTGTTATTCAATTTAAAGCAAGTTATTCTGCTCTGTAATTCTGCTGAATGTGGTTGTCCATAAGCAAAGATAGATATAAAGCAACTCTTTTGTTTGAATCCCAACCTTTTGTGCCTGCAGAGCCACATCTGACACAATTGCATGTATTTAGACTGTTCTTTCAAAATTCGGCCTCCCTGTTCCTCATATTCAGATCTTGTCTGGTAAGTACACCATATTCTACATAGGTCTAGAACTGATTAATTACTTTTTGCAGCCTAGGTTTGTTTTTACAATTTCACATTTGCACAGTACTGTGTTTTCCTTAACATTTAGTGCTCTTTACAGTTGCTTGCTTTTTAATTTTGGCTTAGCGCACTTAATCTTATAAACTCCTGAACAGTGCTTTATATTTAGCAAAGACCCAACTTTATTCTACTGAACTAGCATGGTAACCCTGAACAGAAACTGACCATTAGAGTGTTTTTTACATTTTTGTTGTTGTCACTGAGATCATCAACGGAAAAATATATAACTAATGAAAAAAATACATCCAAGAAATTAAGAATTGCTGATTTTGATGGTTCTCATTGTGGAACAGAATCAGTCACAAGTTATTGCTTAAAATGCATAAAATGCATTAAATCTGAAGATCATATCTTTTTTAGTTTAGTTCTTATTTCAAACATCCATTCAGATCCTTCATTGTGAATCAAAACATCAGGTTCTTGTCTGTTGACATTACTGGTCTGATCTTCTCAGATTCAACTGAAAACAGACATACTGGAAATAAGCTATTTATAAAACATACAGTTTTTGTGATGTGCCACGGGGATTTATGCATGGCAGATAATCTTCCCGCAGGGAAAATAATAGTTGGATTATTTAATAGAGACTGATATTTTGTCATTCCCCAGATAATTGCATTGTGGTTTTTATTATCAAGTGAACCTCTGTCTGTTACTCCTTCTATTTCTTACATGGTTTAGAGGAACAGTGGTAATTAGCAGATATAAAACAGGCAGGGAAGATAATGAGCCCTTAACCAGCCACCGGTTCCTCCGTTTCTTTCTGTGTGGTATGCCAAACCCTTTGTTCCCATTGCTCAAGCAATACTTCATTTTCACACAAAGTAGAGCAGCCACAGGGACTGAACGGACCCCACTACCAAATGTATCCCAGCCTCTGAGGTCAAGGCTTTTTGTAGGCTCTGATCCTTGTGGATAAAAAAGAGACTACATTCCAGGTATCCTGAACTCTGGGTATACGTTTTCATTACCAGATAAAAGAGAAGTATGAGGGCTGCCTTTGTGAGTGGGATCAGGCACAGGCTGAGCGTATCTACTGATCAGACACGGGGAGCGAGACAGGCAGAAAAGTATCTGCTCCTCAGATCTAGGCAGTTACCCGTATCCAAGCTGCATGTATGGCCTTTACCCACAAGTTAGGTCCGTTTGTGCTGAGGACTTCACAGAGATGATCCCTAACCCAGAGCCTGTACCAGCAGGCAGCAGCTTGCAGCTGTGGATGGCGAGGCAAGTAATTTAGAATCATGGAATCATAGAGGGGTTTGGGTTGGAAGGCCCCCTAAAGACCATCTAGTTCCAACGCCCTGCCATGGGCAGGGACGCCTTCCACTAGACCAGGTTGCTCAAAGCCTCATCCAGCCTGGCCTTGAACACTTCCAGGGATGGGGCATCCACAGCTTCCCTGGGCAACCTGTTCCAGTGCCTCACCACCCTCTCCATGAAGAACTTCTTCCTGATATCTAATCTAAACCTCCCTCCCCACTTTCAATTCAAACCCATTCCCCCTTGTCCTGTCACTACAGGCCCTTGTAAAAAGCCCCCCCCAGCTTCCTTGTAGCCCCTTCAGGTACTGGAAGGTGCTATAAGGTCTCCCCGGAGCCTTCTCTTCTCCAGGCTGAACAAGCCCAACTCTCTCAGCCTGTCCCCATAGCAGAGGGGCTCCAGCCCTCTGAGCATCTTCATGGCCTCCTCTCGACTCACTCCCGCCGGTCGAAATCCTTTTTATGTTGGGGGTCCCAGAGCTGGACACAGTACCCCAGGTGGGGTCTCACAGGAGCTGGCGGGAGTTTGATGCAGTGAAGTGCTGGGACAGTCACAGGCAGCCCCACCTAACAGTGAAGGGCAACATGGGAAAAAGCATGAATCCACCTTTTCAAAAAGCTTTCAGAGAAGGGAGTGGGCCCTGCACTGCAGATAAATCAGGACTAGGGTTCGACCTCTGGTACATTGTGGGGGTGGATATCAGATTGGAGCCAGACACAAGTTTTGAATGGGTCTGAAGATGAGGAACAGTTTTATGTCTATGGAGCACAGGAAGGGGAAAGTCTCAAAAGCAGAGAGATCCAAAAAGATGGTCTAAATATATTAGTGATGTGCTAATATTTCTTGAGGATAAGGATAACTGAAAAAAAAAAATAATGAGAGTGAGTTATAGTGGTTTTATAGGAATGGACTGGTAGGAAAGACCACGTCTTTAAGAAATCAATCAGAGAGGCATTTCAGGAGCTGGACCAGACAGGTCCACCAGTCCCTGTCTGGCAGCCCATGGCAATTCCTAGCGAGTCTGCAAATCTCACCATTTTGGAAGAAGTGATGGCAATTTTTTCAAAGGTGCTATTAATCACCGTGTGTGCTTCCTGTTCTGCTGGGATCTACTGAAAAATTCCTGAAGGTGTTATAGGGTAACAAAAGAAAGGAAAGCAGTGCCGACGGCTACTGAATGATCCATAATGTCAAACTCCAATTATTTGGCATTTATAATAAGATGCTAATTATAATTTAGCAGTGATTACCTTCAGGGCCAAAAATATTTCTCATGATTTGTGATCACGTATGTGATAAATCAGGAATGCAGCTGACTAGATCTTATTTTTGTCTCGTGCAACTTGGGGTTTATGGATCTTATTTTTGTCCGTAATTCATTTTCCCTTTGCTGCACACCCGGCGACCTGAGCACCCTTCCAGAAGGCGAGAAGCGTAATTAAAACAAGAAATGTTTAATGTCAGAAATGATAAATTGCGCTGGAGTTCAAGGCGGACTGGCCAGAATTCTCGTATTTCCCACTGGTGTTTTTGTATAGCGTGTGGAGATGCGGGATTTGCGCCATCCCCCTCCGCGCATCCCCCTCCCACGGGAGCGGCGTCGGCGCGGGGCGGGAGGGGGCGTGGCCTTAACAGGAGGGGGCGTGGCATGAGGCATGGGTTGCCCAGCCTCTCCGCCTCCCTCCTTCCGCGCATGCGCGAATGGCCGGAAGTGGGGCGAGGGAGGACGGCCGTCATGGCGATGGCGGGGAAGGTCGACAAAAAACTCTCTGGAGGAGCACCTGGAAAAGTTCGTGGAGAACATCCGGCAGCTCGGCATTATCGTCAGCGACTTCCAGCCCAGCAGCCAGACCGGTCTCAACCAGAAATTGTGAGGGGCTCGCCGCACCGCCACCCTGCTTCGTTGCCAGGCCTGGACGCGGGGCCTTTGCCTCCGCCCTCAGTCGGGTGCCTCAGGGTGCCCGGAAGGGCTGGGCGGCGGAGCTGTCCGTGATATATTAGTGAAATATTGAAGGAGCGGCGGAGAGTTTCGCAAGTCTCCCTCGCTGGGTTTCCTGTGGCTGGCCTGGCAGCCGCAGTTAAGGTTAGCGTAGTACGCCCCTTTTTGGCTAAAACCAACCTGTTTTCTTCTTACAGGAATTTCATGGTGACGGGCTTGCAGGATATTGACAAATGCCGGCAGCAGCTTCACGATATCAGCGTTCCCCTGGAAGTTTTTGAGTAAGTAACTGCGCTTGGAAGGGAAGGTGCTGTAGTCGGTGTGATTTGAGGTAGCGCGTCTTTGCAGTGTGGATGTTTCCCCTGAGGGCTTCTTGTTTCTTAAACTCCATTTTCTGAATGCCTCACGAGAATGTGAGCAGGCAGCAGGTGGTAAGAAGGACCTTCTGCCTGTGAGAAGGCAGAAGGGTAAGTGGAGTGCTAAATTACACACCTGCTATCAGATCTTTATTGTTGTTTTTAACTTCCATTGACTTTACTTAGGTAGGCAGTGATATGGATACTACCAAATCTAGCGATTTGGTAAGTAAGCTTTCATTTTGGACGTATACTCGTGCACCAGGTTAGAATCAGGATTTAAAGTTGCAGGTGAAAATCAATTAGGCCAGTACACTTAGGTGTTCAGTTTCAGTAGTGGCAATCTTCTTTTTTGGCAGAGAATTGTAACACTGAAAGCAGAATCATGAACGTAGAGGGTGGCAGTTCAGGTGGCTACACCTGAATGTAGAGGTGTCAGCTACATTTCTGCTGTAGCTGACAAGTTAATTTACTAGTGTCTCTTCTAAGTCCAAATGCCATTGGTTTGCTGTGTTCTAGTGTATTACTGGCTGTACAGCACTTCTTTCACTTGGGCTTTCGCTGTAGCGATGGTGAGATTGTAACATTGAAAGCAGAATCATGAATGTAGAGGGTGGAGACACCATTTCTGCTGTAGCTGACAAGTTAATTTACTAGTGTCTCTTCTAAGTCCAAATACCATTGGTTTGCTGTGTTCTAGTGTATTACTGGCTGTACAGCACTTCTTTCACTTGGGCTTTCGCTGTAGCGATGGTGAGAATCCTAAATGTTCTGTTTTCTTTATTTGGTGATGGAGTTGCCCTTTGTCAGGCAGTTGTATTGCAAAGGAGAAACACGCTTACAGGTTTGCAGATACAGATGTGTTAATCTTTTCTATAGTACGTACGCTTCCCCCTCATCCTTGTGTTGCTGGATTCCTAAGTGCTTATTGCTCACCATGTACTAAGTGGGCTACTTTATGGTTAGTGCCCTTTCAGTTGCTTGGAAAAGGATAATTTTTCTTTGTTCACGTGTAATTTCAGCCTGTGAAGAGCCGGGTAGTTAAATTTTGTTTACTTTTCATACCTTTTTGCAGGCTCCAGGCTTCCTAGAAACAAAGATTTAAAGCAGCGTACCAAGGCAGCTGTTGTTGGCCGGGGCTTAGTCCTCCTTGAGCTCTCTTTGGAAAGTGGTGGAGTTAAACTGTGTTATTTAAAATGCACGTTTCAGATAACCGTACTAATAAAAAGACAGCAGGGTGAATAATTCTGTGCCTTGGGGAACATCCTAGTTGGAATACGGTCATTCAGGTAGTGTCTCTCCTGTTTGCAGATACATAGATCAAGGCCGCAATCCTCAGCTTTACACTAAGGAGTGTCTGGAGCGAGCTTTGGCTAAAAATGAGCAAGTAAAAGGAAAAATTGACACAATGAAGGTAAACCAGAAATAATGAAAGTACTAATTTAATGAAGTATTTTGTAAGTTCTGCTTTCCTATGAATATATGGGGGGATTTTCCCTTGTGCAGTTATCAAATTCCTGTATTAGAAATTGCTCTGCATCCCTGTACCTGAACTGGTGCTAATACAGCCTGTTCTGGAAAGGAAACTTGTAAGCCGTCCCACAGTTGGAGGTGCCGATGTTCCTATGATTGTGTTTTGGCTAAAGGTGTCTGTAGCATCACGGCCTCTTTCTTTAATCTGCTGTTTTCATTTTGAATACGGAGGAGTACCCCACGCTGTTACAGATCTGTGTGTGAGGTGTCTGAGTCTTAGAAATAAGCAATGCAGAAGGTGTTTTTCCAGTCTTGAATGGATCTTAAGAGTATGTCAAACTGGTTACATAAGCATGAGTCCATCTTTATAACAGTACTTCAGCTGTACGCCATCGTTCAGGGTTTTCTGAACCTGTGCTGCAGAACACAGACACGTGTCCTTGTTCTCAGCTTCTCTTTCTTTCGATACGCTCTCTGCTTGTAGCAGCTGTAGGCAGAATTCTGTATTTCTAAGTGGGGTGTGAGTTCCTTTTTGGGGGTGGAGGGGATTCCATATCAAATCAGGAGCAGGTGTCCCTTACCAGCTTTGCTTCATAAGGTCAGATACTGACGCACCAGCGTTTGCCGTACTACTACCTCTTCTCTTTCGCAGGTGCAAATGCTAGTTAATGTGTGGGAAATCAGAAGCACTTCAGCTTGCCTGGTGCTCTACGAGCGGATTTCACTTGAGCGTGTCTGTGAATTCTGTAAATGTAATTTTGCGTTTGTCTGTGTGGTTTTGAGGAGTTTTTGGGGCGCCTTTCTCTTAAGTCTCTGAAATGCAGAGCCGTGTGCGTACGAATGCTTCTGTTTATCAGGTAGCGTTGCGTGATGAAAGCTAAATAAACTGAGCAGGTGACATCTATACTTGCTTTTTCTTTCCAGAAATTTAAAAGTCTATTAATTCAAGAACTGACAAAGGTGTTCCCGGAAGACATGGCAAAGTACAAAGCCATTCGAGGAGAAGATCCTCCTCCTTAAGCTGGCCTTTGATAGCTCTAAAAACGTCAATTCCATAAACCGACGCCACTCTATAAACACATTGATTGGAGCGAGGGAGAATCCAAGCCTTTCTAACAGCTGCACTGAAAATGGCAGTGATGGAGACTGCAGAGGAGCTTGGTGGTTGCTGTGGGTTCTGGTCTGAAGCTACAGAATCTTGCTGGAGATCTTTCCTTAAAGATGGCAGTTGAAACTCCCTATGGTCATCTATTCTTCTTCCCTGGAAGGTTTTGGAGCTGTTAATTGCCTGCAGGTCATCAACGCATAGCACTTCCCACAAAGTGCGTTCCCAGAGGAGAAAATCATGTGTTTTGCTGTCTGAAGAGCGTGCTCCAGGACTGTGGGCTCATCGGTTTTTAAGATAAATGTATTTATTATGCTTGGTTATTTTTCATCTGTAAACTGCTTTCCTTTTTGTTACAGTACAGTCTTGACCGTTTTCGTCTTGCCAAATTCAGCTGCACAAGGAGCCTGCTGGGGGCTGCGGTTGCCCTGTGTCATAACGAATTGCAGCTGAGACAGGCTTCGGATACTCTTTGTGTTGTTCGAGGAGCTGCGGTGCAGACGGCTGAGGATAGAGCGAGCGTATTCAGGGACTAGCTCCGCGACAGCGTTGATACTTTGTACAGTATTTAATGTGTGCTTTCCTCTAATTCTGTTCATTTGCTATAAGCAGGGGCTTGAGTAAAAATGTGAAAAGAAAATTAAATTCTGGCATTTTTTCGTTTGCATGCTACTCCTTGGAGAAGAGGCTCTGAAAAATAGCCTATTCATCAGCCTCGTAGTGATAGGGATAAAACGTGTCTCAAAACTTGTCTGTTAAAAGTTGAAATCTGAAGATAATGTTGACTTGGTGTTTGGTTTTGTGGGGTAAACTTTTCTCTTTGGTACCTGAAGCAGGAGCCTTTGGGGATGGGTAATTGTCACCTGAAGCGGCGCTTCTCATCAGTTGTGAACTCATCCCTGAAATCTGGAAGTGAGGTAGCCCTGACATAAGAGAGGGAGTCTGGTTTGCTGCTCAGGGGCACAGAGCATGTGCAGAAGACTGGTTTTACAGTGGAAGCTGGAGGACCTCTTTGAACCCTTGGGATTTGGGAAACTTGAACTATGTGTGCTTACGTTTGTCCTTCTAGATGCAACTTGACTTTTTTTGCACCGACAAATCATAGAATGGTTTGGGTTGGAAGGGACCTCAAAGACCATCTAGTTCCAATCACCCTGCTATGGGCAGGGACACCTTCCACTAGACCAGGTTGCTCAAAGCCTCGTCCGGCCTTGGATGAGGAACTCAACTCCCGAGGTTATTCTGTCTGCGCAGTGCCTCTTCCCTATTCGCCACTAAGCCCGCTGCATTCAGCGAGCATCTCTACCTCTTTGCAGTTCCTCACGCTGAGTAGGATTTCCCTGTTGGTAACTTGAGAGATATTAATGTTGTTCCATAAGAGTAAGTTTTTCAACCAGGAGAGATCTTTTTGATCTTTAAAAAGATCAAATACTTCATTTTACATTCTATTTCTTTATTTTTTATTTGACTCCTTTGCTGTGATGTCATTAAAAAAAAATTTAGCTAGAGTTTTTGCTTTAAACACATTGTTCTAAAAGGTAGTCCTCATTTTACAATTAGTTGTTACACATGGGATTACTTTGAATTTTGGGCCTAGCGTGTTAATTTTTATAAGTGTCACCTGATGTTCGGCATTTACTGTAGAAATACCATCACAGGTTTTCCATTGTAGATGTCCTGTGGAGCTTTGCATCCCATATGTCTCCATCAGTTCGTGTGCTGAGCAGCTCAGAGTTAATGAGATTTATATGGTACGGCACTTTTTTAATGTGTTCTTTCCATATCTATAGTCCATCCTATATACTCCGTAGAAATTAATAATGGAGTAGTAGAGCTTATAATGTATGGATTTACTCCTACTGCTGATCAGAAAAGGAGGCATGAGGAGGAAAGGGATACTCTTTCAGATTTTCTGGAAAGAGGATTTGTTCCTTGAATATAAAACACTGAACAGAATTAGATATCCAGCTTTCTGAATATTACGTAGTTTTGTGTGTGCTAAAAATGTCGTTTCCTTAACAGAAAACCCCCAGGTTCTGTGTGTTGTTCAGTGCGCCACAGCTGCCCTCTGCCTGCTACCCAGGCAAATCGTTTCTCCACAACCCTGCTACGTTCCACCTTGGAAGAGAACCGCCAGGTTAGGGTGAGATGAGCTTTTATTGGCAGAGGATGGTGTCCATAGACACTGTGAATTTGCTGTGCTTTGGTGGATTTAGCATGGGAAGCCCTTGGAATGAGTTGAACTGCCCAGTAAGCATCCTTTCTGCCTCGCTACAGCCTTCATGTCACTCTGCAGGAATACCGGTGTGCTCTTCGTTGGGCGGTCTCCGGTACCCTGTGGAAACCCTGCTTGTGTTGCTACCGTCACAACCCCATCATCCTTGCAGAAACACTGTACCCAGACTAAAATCTGTGCATTTGATTTGTTTGTGAAGCATCGTTCACTTTTGGCCAGGTTCTCCTGATACTGGCACTACAACATGGATTTAATTGTCCTGGCTACATAAGGCCCCAGGAAGGCCTTGTGTGTTCTTCCTTCTGGCTGTGAATGCTCTTCCAGCAGCGTTGTTGAAGTAGCTGAGTAAGTTGATTTTTACACAGTGAACAGGAGTGGCAGAGGGTTCTAACAATTTACAACGGGCTCTTCCAGAGCCAGGATCACAGTAGCCCCGAGGGTCTATTTTGTACAAATACAACAGTATTTTTATTTTTAATTTTTATTCTATGTTTATCCCAAAACCCAGATTCTTCTAATCTGAATTCCAGTATTTAGCAATCAATAGTATAAAGGGTAATATTTTCCTCAGGCTGCACATCTCCTTTTGCATGGTGCTTTTCTCCTCCGTCCCCCAAGAACTGATGCTCAATCACATTTAATGGGAAGAATGTCCAACTGTGGAGCCCTCAGTATCAGAAGGATATTGACCACTTGGAGCGAGTCCAGAGGAGGCCACGAAGATGATCAGAGGGCTGGAGCACCTCTCCTATGACGAAAGGCTGCGAGAACTGGGCTTGTTCAGCCTGGAGAAGAGAAGGCTCCGAGGAGACCTTATTGCAGCTTTCCAGTATCTGAAGGGGGCCTACAAGGGTGCTGGGAGGGGACTTTTTACAAGGGCCTGTAGTGACAGCACAAGGGGTAACGGGTTTAAATTGAAAGTGGGGAGGTTTAGATTAGGTATCAGGAAAAAGTTCTTCACGGAGAGGGTGGTGAGGCACTGGAACAGGTTGCCCAGAGAAGCTGTGGATGCCCCATCCCTGGAAGTGTTCCAGGCCAGGCTGGATGAGGCTTTGAGCAACCTGGTCTAGTGGAAGGTGTCCCTGCCCATGGCAGGGGGGTTGGAACTAGATGGTCTTTAAGGTCCCTTCCAACCCAAACCGTTCTGTGATTCTATGTTATTGCCAAAACAATATGAAATAGTCTTTTCTTTCCATGTTTTGTGATGAATGAGCGGATCTTTTTAAAAAAACTGTTCTGTCCCTTTTGGCCAGTGCATCATTTAAACTGCTTTTGGCTGTAGGTGTGTGTCTGCTGCTGGCTTTTCCGTGGGTTATGAGACCTACCTCCATGAGCTCCTCTTCTGGGGGGGGGCGGTGTTGATCAAGGGAGGTGGAGCGCAATGTCTCCGGGCTCCTGCGAGCGTGTGGGTATGCGCCCTGTGCCTCGCAGTCGGGGCCTCTCCGGCATGACGCCAGGCCTGACCGGCTGGCGATGGATGGCCTCGGTCAGCCCTAACCTTTGGTGGATGATAAGGGCTTGTTTTCCCCCGTGCAGTCCCTGTGGACGGGTTTACGAACCGAGTTGTGCCCGTCAGCAGCCAGCTGAGCCCCCACCAGGGGCTCCGGCAGCAGCCTCAGCCACAGCTGAGCCGTTGCGGCCCCCTCAAACACAACCAGCTCCAAAGCGACGGGGGAGTCGTCGGGGTGCTGGAGCAGGGCTGGGTGATGGCGGTCTGTACCGGCAGTGACACGGTCAGGGGCCATCGGTGAGAGCCAGGGTACTACTGCAGCTAATGCCGGCCGGGTGCAACCCTGGGCGGGCAGTGGGCACCAGCTGCCTCTGGCTGGTAAATCACCGTATCCCTGCCCCGTGCCCGCTGAACTGTTTGGGGAGCTGGCACCACTCTGCGGGCGGGGGCTGTTAAGAAGGCGGAAGGTCTGCAGTCTGCCTCTGCCCAGAGCTTCCTGCGGGATAGCGATTAGGCTGGAGCAGTGGGGGGAGCCTAGAGTGGAGCAAGCAGCTCCACGGCACCCTAAAAATGTGTGAATGTCTGCTCCATGAGCATGTAATTTGTTACTGTTTGTTAATAAAATAAGTACCCAACGCTGGCCGCAATGAAGATGGTTACCTCCGGAACGCTGGCGTCCGTGCTTCCTAATGGGAGGAGTATCCCAGGCTTCCTGGGCTCAGAGGGAGGTGTTTTACAGACAACACATGGACCATATACTATCCCTGGATATCTAGGTGGCTGTGGCAAACATGGTGACTGGGATAGTTAGGAGAGGTGGAGGATTAGGGAAAAATATTCTTTATGTCATATTAAATAAAGAATAATAAACATAAAGATATTTTTTTATAGGTGACGTCATCATGGGATCCTAGCGGCATGTGTTTTGTGGGGAGTCTGTGAGGAAGCATTTTTTGTCTTGGGAGATATATACATCAGGAATAATAATAATAATAATAATACCCCCACATACAAACACACACACACACATGAAGTGTGTAAATCATGAAGTTTCACGTTCTCCTCAGCCCCAGTTCTACATTTGTGACACTTTCTTATTCAATTAGTTTCTGCTTGCCTCACTTACTGTTTCCAGGGTAGCCGTGCAAAATATGGCTATTATGTCAACTGCCCCTAGGAGTCTACGTTCAGCATAACGTGGGAGAGAGGTAACTGTTGTAACTTACGTGTGTTTGAGGCAAGAAAATGTCGCCAGAATAAGTGCCTTTGGAATTTTATTTAAAAATAACATCAAAATAACATCACCCAGGCAACAAAGCATCCAACATAATTAAAGGGTACCACAAATTTATCTAAAAGGAAGATGTGAAATCCTGTGAGCGTTCAGAATTTCAAGCGTGTCCTTAGATTTTATTAAGATTTTGAAAATAATAGGGAATACGTAATTACAGGTAATTGCCTATTTTTTGTTTCGCCACTCTCCTTATTATATACACTATGAAATGAAGAGATATTAGATAATGCTGCTGGGCACACACTTC